TGTTTGACTGGCCCTTTCTGTCAGTCATGGTAGTTTTCATGTGTGTAACTTGTTGCTGTGCTGATTTGTAAACACCGTAGCTGTTGCCACACAGCGAAGGTGATTGGTATAGCACATTCGCCAGCCAATCACTGGCATGTTACTGTATTCCTGCAAACATTGCTCCCACACGAATCCCAGCGACATCAGCCAATCCTTACAGCTCAGCCAGGTTTGGCAGTTTCGGTTTCTATTTCTGTACTTCGGAGCAAAGCAGAGCCTGCAATGATTTTTTTGGGAGAGCCCGATTCGACGGTTCCCAGACCAAAAATTGCCGGCGAACCCGAGATGTGGTACTTCCACCTCGTTCTCAGCACGATTTTCGACAGTACTGGGCAGATTTCGGTCGTAAATCTGTATTCAGTTGCACATTTCAGCATTTAGCAGCACAGGTTTTGCACACGGAATTGTAGGGATTGCGTATAGGGAACACACCTAGAAAAAAGGTGAGCGTTTCTGGCCGCTGTTCGAGGTTCTATACCAGTCAAGTGGAGCGCACTGGGCACTGAACCACTCTAAAGGCGCGTAAAGCTCTCAAACGCTCTGGAATTTGGACTGTAATAGAAGCTTGACCAGCGGCCAGAAACGTGCCCTAATGCTATTGTGGACCCCTTCCGAGATAGGCAGAATGGTGCGAAATAAACTGGGGGCGTAAATCCTGGAAATAAGAGTATTTATGTGAAAGTGTGAAAAAACCCTGACAAATCATAGTTCAACCTCCAAGGCACTATGAAAATCAGAGTTAGGCCAGGAGTCCCTTGTGAAAATCAGAGTGGTGAAAAACCAAAGATAGGCCCTGCCTGCAAGCCTATAATAATATATCAAGGTTTCAGCTAGGATTTTAGGCCGTCTGACGTTCAGACGGAGTTTCAAACTTTCGTCTGACCATCATACGATTTTTTTTTGCCGATCTGGCATTTCATATGAAAAAATTGGCACGATCTGACAGTTCAGACGAAACGTTGGCACTATACCCCAATGCCGAATGCACTACATTACACTACTACACAAACGAATGTAACACTTGATAAACATCGTTAGCATCATTGTAACTGCAACTACTGATGCTCCAGTACCTACACTACAACCTACATTAGGAATTAGCCTTATACTAGACCATGCTATGCCATGCCGCCACCTGCCTACTCGGAGTCCGAACTATCACTTCCAACCTCTTTGATGTCTTTATCACTATCGGTCTCTTGAACTTGGACCTTCTTGCCCTTGCCTTTCCTCCTCCAGATTGGGCCAGCCACACCATCCTCTTCAAACACTCTGGCTGCTTCTTCTGCTGCTAGCGCTTCTGCCTGCCTGGCTACTTCTACTGCTGCCTTTGCTGCTGCTTTTGCTGCTGCCTTTGCCGCCTTCAATGCCACCGACGCCTTGGGCCGCTTCACCTGCCGTGCGGTCTGATCCATGACAACTTCCTTGGCGGGCCACCGCTTCTTCGTTCCACGCCAGCTAGCCACCATACTCCCACAGTCCATCGGGTAGTCGAGCAGCGACACCGTCATCAAGTGGCCTAGCTTCGTATCACTGAGATTGCCGCGCTGCCAGCTTTTGATGACGTTCTGGCGGCTGAACCCGCGCTCGCTCTCCACTGTGCTGAGCGGCAGCACGGCCCAGGCAATCCAGATGAGAACCAAATTGGGGTAGGCAGTCATCCAGTTTGACGTGGAGAGCACGTTCTTCAGCGCGTCATGGAAGCCCAGCTCATCGTTGTGTGTCGACATAATGGTGGTGAAGCTGACGAGCTCGGCCTTTGCCTTGCCCCAGTTGACATCTGAAGGGGGGTTGAAACAGAGGCACAGAAGCCTTCGTCAATGATCTCCACAACCAGAAAACGCCCGAGCCACGGCGACACTAACCCCCTGGAACTCATCCGGCAGAGTGTCGGGCGCTGACGCATCACGCTTGTAGAGGCCGCGCAGAGACTGGAGCCATTCGAGAAACTTCCGCTGGCGCCTCGCAGTGAACTTCGGGTACATCATCTGCTTGAAGAGTCTTGTGCCATAGAGCTTCGATAGATTTTTAAGGCGTCCATTCAGGTGGTTGATGACACCATTGACGACGTCCGTGGCGAGCTGCTGTAGTGACTTTAGATCCCCCTTGCTCCGCTGCCCATCCAGCGGCTTTGTGTGTAGAGTGTACGTGTGCACAGTCGGCGCCCCGTGTGCGTCAATCCCTTCGATCGTCACGTCCTCGCCCCCCGCGTACAGATGCAGAAAGTCGGCGAAGTCCCCCTCAGGTGGGCCGAACTGTGTGCTGTAGTTGACGTAGCGTGCGCGCAGTGTCACGACGGTGTTGTCGACCATCCGAAGAACCTAGTTGACGTCGACCTGCCATACACTGACAGAAAGAGGAGGTGTTTTTGCTCGTTAATCATCACACTCCCCTAAAACTGACGACATGACACCAACTGGCTTACCTGGCGACGCTGGAACTTGAGGTTGAGCGTGTTGAGCTCCCGCAGCACATCCGCCAGAAAGTACAGCAAAAAATGAAACTTCAACGAGATAACTACGTCATACATCTTCCTATCATACTCGTACAACAGGAGAATGGCGGCGGGGAACACATCAACAAGCCGCTGGATAGCCTCACCGCGACTAAGCCAACAAATCTGGTGGATGCCTTGCATTTCGAGGTTAGTTTCAGTGACGACTTCTTGCAGCTCCTTGAAACGGTTGTGGACGACGATGGACCGGCCGAGCACCTCGGCCAGTGGCCGCACGACCTTGTCGACGATGCCTAAGTCCGGGAAATCATCTGCAGTGTCCTTGGCAGCAAGAGCCTCCCTGCATATTAACAGAAATACTTTATTAGTCTCGGAATAAACTATTAAAATATGCAATTTTCTGGAATTTCAGACTCACATATGCGCGATGCAGTGGCAGGAAACCAGGTGTGGAATACGGGTGCGCAACCTTGCCACGAGGCCTGCTTGCGCACCCGTCATCATACTGGCTCCATTAGTGCTGTTGCCGCAAATCTTGTTGAGGTCGACGCCCTGAGACTCGATGTGGGTAAGTAGAACGGCTTGCAGAGATGCGGCGTCGCACTTCTCGACGGTGAGATGCCCGAAGAACTCTATCACCACCGTCGTGTCGCGTAAGAAGGTGAGGTAAACAATCATATGTTTACCCCGCCGACGGTCGGTTGACTCGTCGAGTTGGATGCCCAAGAATGGTGAAGCCCTGATGTGGCTCATTTGCTTGTCGCGCAGGTAAGTGACGATGTTCTCGATCACCTGATTGAAACCGTACATGCGCATGCATATTAGTATGTTAAATGGGTCAGTTCTCTGGAAAGCATGTTAAAAATCACGTAAAACACTTACTCGCTCTGGTAGGTACCGTTGTCCTTCACACGCAGGTCTGGTGTTCCCTGCTCTGCCATGAACTGGACAAGTGACACAAACAACACAACGGGGGCGTCAGATTTGCAAAGGAACATCACAATCGCCATGAGTCGCTTCACTCGCTTTGCCTCATCGTCCCCGTTCTCGAAGTCGACGATGGAATTCTGCTTCGCGTTCTTGCCGTCCTTCTGCTCCTTCCGCGCTATCGCTGCCTCGTGCTTTTGACTGTGGTGGGGCTTGCGCATCGTCTGCTTCTGTATGTCGATGCCGCCTTCGCCGTTGTGCCCATACTGGTAGTTGGGGTCGTTGTTGTACCCCATACAGATGCTACACTTCATGCATGGACGCCCCTCAGAGGTCTCGGAAATCAGCAGCCATGGGAAGTACCGCTGCCACTGCTCCTCAGCTTTCAACTGCAGCTCGGCGACTGTGAGGGGAAAGGGACCATCGTCGTCGTCGGAGCCGGCAGGAGATGCTCCGGCAGACCAGGATCGCACATGGACAGAGGGTGTAGACTGAGCCACTGCTGGTCGGCCAAATGTAAGCTTGCGCTGTCGATGCTTCTTGCCAGGAGCGCGGACTGGTAGGACAGGATCGCGCGTCACGCGTGAAGGGGAGACGGCTCGCACGGTTGAGCAGCCAGGTGTTGACGACGGGTTAGGTGACGTTGGAGCATCACATGTAGAGTTTTCTTTGTCAAAGAAAACCCACGGCTCGTCGTCTAACGGTGGGAGAGGCGACGGAGGTGCCTCACCCACGGCTGCAATCGGAGCATTGCCGACGATGGCTCGGTTCAGCGCGTCAGTGAGGAGATCTAGACCACTAACAATCGGAGGGGTTGAGCCAGGGGGCTCCAAGCCTACAACTGACTGCCTAACTGGGGAGGGGCTCGACTGCGCTCTCATTGATGCCATCGCTGCCTAGCCACAGAGCTAGAGGGCGTCCAGGCAGGGTGTGAGCCGAGCAAGATTGGAGCCATGCTGAGGGGGCTGGAAGAACGAGGTGGAGCAGGACAAGTGGCTATGAGGCTTTTCCCTCGGTGCCTTTACCTTCAGGCGCCTCGCTGAGCTGCAGCATGGCGAGCGAGGTTGCTGCATGGTTACGAAATAGCTCTGCATTGCTGGTTCGCGGTGGGTGGCTTTCCTGGCCGCACCACTGTGCGCTGGCACATTGCTGCCAGCTTCAAGGTGCAAGGAAGCTGGCAGCCGTGCAAGTGACGCACTATCGGACGAGCGCTTGGCGGCAACCTGAGTCAGGTTGTTGCCGATTTCATTTCGTGACTATGCGCTGGCCGTCGCGGTGCGCGTGGAAATAAATGCACCTGCCCACCGACCACGACCAGGATGGCAGAGTGTGGGCCAGTGGGCAGGTAACCCATTGGCGCAGTGGGATAATGGGCGATTGCTGTCAGACGAAATTGTACGCGCAATCTGACATTTCAGACGAAAAAATACACCAAGTCTGAACTTTCAGACGAAATCTTATGACTGAGATGGACAATCAGACGAAATAATTCACCCTGTCAAAAAATCAGATGAAAGCAAAAAAGCAGGTCTGATTTTCAGACCATCAGACGGATTTCCTCTGATATCTGAGACCCTGTAATATATATCTCAAATGTATAATTTAACAATAGACACTACACCACACCAGTACTTGATAAGATCATATAGAACAAAACAGAATTCATGACACTGTACATAAAATAAAGCAAGACCTGACCACCAAGCGCACCGGAATAGAGTGTCCATATTGGTCTCTCCATAAGATTGTACCAAACCTGAACTTTCTCGAAGAAAAGAAACTAGGAAAGCCCATAATGGTCACCCTAAACACCTTGGATTTTCCAGGCAGAATAGTGAACTTCTTAGGCGAAACTTTCACCACAAATCCCTGTGGAGTCTCCACTTTCGCTTTATATGTAGACTTCTTATGGTAGACGTTCTTAACGCGTCTGTGCACTACCGCAACGCCGCGTAACCGGGTCACCGCTATGGACGCACGATTCAGGTTCCATGGAAAAACTGGGTGTTTCACCTTTCGCCAAAACCGCTTCGTCGCTCTTAGCGGATCCCTCCCCATAAGAAAATTTACATAATCTCGATGTGCAGCGTGAAACGTGAGCCCGGGGTCCAACACGCGCGTGGGATCCACGTGCCCGCCTCCGTAGTCCCACGCGCTCGCGTTTGTTTCATCTGCCCGCTGAATCGGCTGCCCGTTTTGATTTTTCGTATAAGCCGTTGTGGTGATGGCGGATATCACCTGCGCGGGCGACCAGCTCGGCTTCTTCTGCACGATCAGCGCCATGATCCCCGCCAAATGCGGCGTCGCCATGGACGTCCCGGACCAGTAGTTGAAATTAGGATCGTCAGTCTTAGCAGTATCGACCGATTTACCCGGAGCCGCGGCCCATAGTTGGAACCCCGGGCCCATGACGTCGGGTTTCAGGATGTCATTGGTGGGGAAGTCGCGGATCAGGAGCGGGGGCCAGTAGAAGGGGCTGCGGGGGGGGCCGGCGGATGAGAAGTAGGCCACCTGGGGCGCATTGGTGGAGTAGGACGCGGTGAAGGGGGATAGGGTGGCGGAGGGGCTGCGGGGGGGAGGGAAGGGGGGCGGGGGGGGAGGGCGGAGTGGGAGGAAGGGGGTAAGAATGGGGTGTAAGGTTTAGGGAGGGAAAGAATGGGAGCGAGCAGGGAACACAAAGAGTAGGTGACCTGGGGGTCGCTGGCAGAGTAGGATGCGGTGAAGGGGGATAGCGTGGTGCTGGGTTGTGGGTGGGAAGGGAGGAGGGGTGGGGAAGAGGGTAAGAGTGGGGATGGGAGGATATTAAAGCCCCCCTCTCATATTTCCAGGGTTGAGCAAAGGTAATACTCTTGCGTAATAGGGTAACAAGGGTGGGTATCGCAAGTTTGGTTGGTTGGTGTGGACGTGCCCCTGATTGGTCACAAAGCAAAAAGACGGGAAAAACCCCACGCGACAACCAAGCCACACCATGGTGATCGCAAACCTACCGTGCTGGGTTTCGACACGTTCTGTTTTGGATTTCCGTGTTTTGGGTGTGTCGCCGTGCACGTGCCAAGTCGGCTGGCGACGTATTTTCGGTTTGAGGGGTTGGTACGGAGGTTCCCCCGGCCTGCAAGTTTGGTTGGGTTTCGGGCCTGGTTCTCTGTTGTGTTCGTCAAACCCCAGCTCTCGCGACTCTGAATTTCGTACCTCGCTACCCAATCCCCGCCGCGCCTGTCTGGCCAAAGGTAATACCTTTGGAAATATGAGAGGGGGGCTTTAAGGCGATCTGGGGGACTTTGTTGGAGTGGGTTCAGTGATTGCAAGATGGCGTTGAAACCGACCGTTGTGTGAAGCAGAAAACAAAGAAACTGCGGCAGAGGACGGACAAAGAGAGCCTCAGCTACTGGTGGGGAGTAGACATGGGCAAAAAAAATCGCATCCCATCGCATTTAATCTCGTTTTTGCGATGGCCATGTTTTTTTTTTTCTTTAATCATCGCGCGATGCGATGAATTCATATCGCGCGATTTAATTTAAACCACATTTTAATCGCGCTAAAAAAAAGCGATTTAAATGCGATATGCGATTTTTAAAAATCGCGCGCGATATTGCACTGAAACCCACTCTGAAACCCACTACGAAACCACACTGGTTATTTGCACTCTAGCTTACGACTGCCCGTGAGTCAATTTCCCCGCAGCCATTTTTTTTTTCTGTTTTTTGGGGGTGTTTTTTAATTCTGTTTTAAAACGCGATGCGATTTAAAATCGCATTGCGCGATTTAATTAAATATTGCATGCGGTTTTTTTATACATCGCGGGTAAAATGCGATTTGCGATTTTTTTTTTGAAAAATAAATCGTGCGATGCGATTTTAAATCGCATCGCTTTTTTAAACATCGCACCTGCATGCGATGCGATTTAAATCGCAATCGCGTTTTGATCATGTCTAGTGGGGAGCAAGTGAGTTTCACCTACTGGTGGGGAGAAAGAGAGGTTCACCTGCTGGTGGGGAGAAGGAGAGGTTCACCTGCTTTGAGCGGTGATGTAGCTCCTGATGGCCCTCCCAGGCGCGTATTTGATGAAGATGCTGGGGGTCTTGGTGAAGGGTATGATATGCTGCATGTCAGTACTAGGGCTCCCGCTTATAACGAGTATAGCAGCCGCCCCATGCTTGTCCGCGTCCTCCTGCAGGAGGTCGAGGGGGAGCTCCAAGACGGTGCACACCAGGAACTTGCCCGCCACTAGGGCCGGGTCGATGGCAAACGGTTGGCATTCCTTGCCCTGAAGAACGGGAAGGACAGGCGGGAAGGGGGAAGGGGGGAAGAGTGGGGGGAAGGAAAGAGTGGTGAGTGAGTGCCCGTTTCTTCCAGCAGGAGGTCAAGGGGGAGCTCCAAGACGGTGCACACAAGGAACTTGCCCGCCACTAGGGCCGGGTCAACGCCAATCGGATTGCATTCCTTGGCCTAAAGAAAAGGAAGGACAGCAGGGAGGCGGAAGGGCGCTTTAAGGTGGTGCAGATGAGGAACTTGGCCGCGACTAGGGTCGGGTCTATGTCTTCAGAATGGCATTCCTTGGCGTGGAGAAAGGGACAGGAAGGACGGGGGAGAGGGGCGGGGGAGGGGGGGGGTGAGTGTCGGTGTATTCAAGCAGGGAGACCAACGGATGCTTAGAGATGGTGCACACGAGGAAGTGGGCCGTAATGGGAGTCTCGTCCATGACTTGAGAACAGCATTCCTAGGCGTGGAGAAAGGAATGCGAAAGAGGGGGAGGGGTGAGTGGCGGTGTATTCAAGCAGGAAGACCAGCAGGCGCCTAGAGATGGTGCACACGAGGAACTTGGCCGCGACGAGAGTCTTGTCTTGTCCATGACTTCAGACATGAGAGTCTTGTCCATGACTTCAGACACGAGAGTCTTGTCCATGACTTCAGACACGAGAGTCTTGTCCATGACTTCAGACACGAGCGTCTTGTCCATGACTTCAGACATGAGCGTCTTGTCCATGACTTCAGACACGAGAAAGGGATACGAGAAGGGGGAGAGGGGGGGGGGAGGGGAGGGATGAGTGCGTGCGTCTTCAAGCAGGGAGACCAGTATGCGAGAGTCTGAGAGTCATCGAGAGACATGGAGCACACCAATGTAGTGTTGATGTGACTGAGGAACGTGCCTGAGACTAGAGGCCTGTTGATGTGCCCCAAATTGCACAGAAAGGGACGGACAGGTAAAAGCAGGAGAAGAGGGAAAAGCAGGAGAAGAGGGAAAAGCAGGAGAAGAGGGAAAAGCCGAAACCGGTTACCATCAAAACGAATGTCTCGCAAAGAATCGCGAAGAAGGCTCGCGAGCCGAAACCGGTTACCATCAAAATCTTCACAAAGATTTTTAAGCAAGCTCTCCGCTCGTTTTACTTAAGCGTTTTCGAAGTTGCTGCCACGTAAAGACCTATGGCACCCAAGTGGTGTTCACTCGGAAAAGCAGGAGGAGAGGGAAAAGCTGCGTGTGAGCGAGGTACACCTGCCGGCTGCCACCCTGCCCTTGCCGATGTGCTTTGAGCCCGTGACTGGAGTTGCCTATGTGCCCACCGTAGCCCTGTCTGGCCACGTGGGGAGAAGGGAAGGGCAGGGGAGCAGGGGCCTGGAGGCTAGAGCTACCTTTGGCCATGTCTCCTTTGACCTCACCTGGCCCATGTCCCCGTCTGAAGACACAGCGGATTCAGCCAGGACCAAGGGGAGGGCTCACGCTGTGCCACCCTCGCGGCCCAGACAAAGGGGTGACCCTCCCACGAGCTAGCCCCTCTCCTCCGCGCTCACCTGTCCTTAGTGCTCACCTGTCCTTTGCCTCCAACAGAAAACATAGCGGATTCAGCCAGCGGATTCAGCGGAGAGCTGCCGCCGTGCCAGTGCTGCCGCCCAGGCAAGGGGGTAACCCTCCCTCGAGCATGCCCTACCAGGCCTGTGCTTCTCTGGACTTCGCCTGGACCTCACCTCGCTTTCTAACCCATTTGGAGGCAAAGCGGATTCACCCAGCACCAAGGGGAGAGCTGCCGCCGTGTCACTGCTGCCGCCCAGACTGCGACCCGAGAAGGTGGTTCCGTCGCCCAGGGTTAGTACAGCCCTGTATTCCCGCCCCATGGTGCTGCCACGGGGAGGAGGGGGAGGCGGCGGGGGTGAGAGGGGGGAGTGCATTGATGCTCTCGGCCAGACTGCGACCCGTGAAGGTGGATGCATCGCCCAGGGTTAGCACAGCTCTGTATTCCCGCCCCAGGGTGCTGCCATGAGGAGACGAGGGTGTGGGGAGAATGGGGGGCAGTGGGGGGGGAGGGAGACGGGAGAGTGGGGGCTGGGGGCGAGAGGAGTGTGTTGATTACACTCCATGCTCGGACTGCGACTCGTGAAGGCGGTTGCGTCGCCCAGAGTGCGCACAGCCTTGCATTGAGCGGGAGGCTCAAAGGTGCTGCCATGGGAGGAGGAAGAGGGGGGGGGGGGTGGGGAGGAGGGAGACAGGAGAGTCGGGGAGAACGAAGTGAGCTGATTGCACTTTATTTTTGAGGCGCCTCAAAAATTGCACTTTATGCCTTCATTGCCACCTATGAAGGTGGTTGTGTTATCGAGGGTTAGCACAGCACTGTATTCCCGCCCAATGGTGCTGCAATGGAGGAGTGAGGGGTGGCGGGGAGAGAGACAGGAAAGTGGCAGCGAGAGAAGTGTGTTGGTTACACTCCATGCTCAAACTGCGGCCAGTGAAGGTGGTTGTGTTGTCGAGGGTTCTGAGTTTGTGTCAACTCCAAAAGCGGTTACGTTGTCAAGGGTCAGCACAGCACAGCACTGTATTCCCGCCCAATTGTGTTGCAATGGGGAGGAGTGAGGGGTGTGGGGGGGAGAGGGAGACAGGAGAGTGGGGGCGGAAGGACTGTGCTGATTACATTCTATGCCCAGACTTTGACTCGTGAAGGTGGTTGGGTTGCTGAGGGTTAGTAGAGCCCTATATTCACATCGCCCCCACTCTCCCATCTCCCTTCTGGCTCACGGTGTTGCAATGAGGAACAGGGGCTGGGGTGGGGTGGGGGGGAGGGGAGGGGGAACATGTGAGTGACGGTGAGTACAGCCCTGTATTCCCGCCCAATGGTGTTGCAATGGGGAGGAGGGAGGGGTGGGGGTGGGGGGGGTGGGGGAGGAGGGAGATGGGAGAGTGGGTGCGAATGGAGTGCGTTGATTGCACTCTATGCCCAGAATGCAACTCGTGAATGTGGTTGCACCATCCCCAGGTCCATGCTGCTTAGTACTCCCTCCCCCCCAATGGTGCTGCAGGGGTTGGACCGACCCTCGACCAGTATAGTCTCTCTCACTCATAGATATCGCTCTGTCACCATGATCACGCTCTAGCCATACCTGGCACCCACAGTGAGGTAAAAGGGAGAGACGTTTCCAAGGGTGCCCCACATGCTCATGGGGTGGGCTGACCACCACTACAGTGTCACTCACTCGGATCACTCTCAAGCGGTCCGTTTATTGCTGGAAGCTAGGGTACAGGCTAGGCATGTAGGGTGACAACGAGGCAAGGTGCGTGCATGCTAAGGGACCCTAGCCTACTCTCACTACAATCACTCTCTCTCTCTCTCTCTAGCCATACCTGGCTCCCACGGTGAGGTAGAAGGGAGAGACGTTTGCAAGGGTGCCCCACATGCGCATGGGGTCAGGCCGACCCTCGTTGCCTGCTGCAAAGGCTGTCACCACTCCGGCCTGCAGTGTAGGGGGAGACAACAGAGGGGTGCTGCTGGAGTGATGCAACACGACAGAGCGTTGCAAAGGCCTGCTGAGCTTTAGGCTTTCCCTCGTTGCCTGCTGCAAAGGCTGTCACCCATCCCAGCCTGCAGGGTTTCGGGATGCAGCAGAGGGGCGATGCTGGGGCCTTGGCGACAGGAAGGACAGAGTGTTGCTACAAGGCAACACACACCTTCAAGCCTTGGAAGTAGGGTAAATTCTGAACGTACATGGCAAGCCCCCCCCACGATCACGAGACGGCACGAGGGTGAGTACCACCCTCAAGCCAAGGTAAGGCAAGGCACGCTGCATGCACCTTCAAGCGTCGCAAGTACGGCAGATCTTGGAAGTACATGGCAATGCCGCCCCACGCGCACGAGATCACATCCACACCATGAGTAACCGCCTTTTCAGCCGCAGCTATGAGGTCATGAGGTTGGAAGACACCCTTTCTCAAACGCACCGTGAGTCCCCCAACTAGTCAACCCTAGATTCCCACCTTAAGTCCTCGCAGGTACGGAAGATCTTGGAAGTACAAGGCGAGGCCCCCCCACGAGCACGAGATGACGTCCACGCCATCAGCAACCGCCTTTTCAGCAGCTTTTATCAGGTCGGAAGTCACCCCCACCCCCTCATTCCCCCCGATGACCCACAGCGCCTTGTACACTGCCAGCCTGGCGCGTGGCGCCATGCCCGATGCTGTGCCATAGGTCCGGCCTCCCATGGTAACAGTGACTCCAGAATTGCCCGCAGCGGCTCTGAGGGAGGGGCAGGGATGCGGCGGGGTGGGGGGGTGGAGATGTGATCATTCCCATGGCTTGCGGCACCCATGCCCGACGCTGTGCCATCGGTGTGGCCTCCCATGGCGACCGTGACTCCTGAGGTTCCCGCAGCGGCTCTGGGTGCGGGAAGGGAGGAGAAAGACCACCACGTGGGAGGGGAGGGGAGGGGAGGGGAGGGGAGAAGTACGGAGACGGAGGGAGAAGGAGCGGGGAACAGTCAGTAGTATCCTCCCTGTGCCCTCATACACCCCCATCCTCCACAGCCCCTTGTACACTGCCAGCCTGGCTCGTGGCGCCATGCCCGATGCTGTGCCGTAGGTGCGGCCTCCCACAGTCACGACCACCCTTGTGCTACCTGCAACAGCTCTGGAGGATGGGCGGGAAGAGGGAGGCAGGCGGAGATTAAGGGAGGGAGGGGAGGGGAGGGGAGGGGCACCTTCGCAAAGCACCTCTTGCAATCACCATCTCGTTGCTGGGACTACCGCACTCACTATTTCGTTGTTTGCCCAAAAGCAATCACCATCTCGTTGCTTCACCAATCGCACTCACCCCGCACACCACGTGCCGTGTTCCAGTTTGTCGCGTGCCGACCGGTAGTCTTCCGTCTCATCCAGCTTGCCAAACTCCTTCTCGGCGCCCTTCACAAAGTACCTCGTCCCGATCACCTTGTCGTTGCACGCGCTGTAGTCAGCTGTCTTGGTGCACACGCCCCTCCAGCGCGAAGGGACAGCGGAATAAGCTGCTCCGCTTGGGTCCTGAGGGCATGAGAGGGCATGAGAGGGCATGAGAGGGCATGAAAGGGCATGAGGAGGGGTGTTTGGGCCAGATGCCAAGTCAATCGCCCCAATAATCACACCCTTCCTCTCGTTGCTCCGTGCAACGATCCTACATTGGTCACTACACCAACACCCATCCGTCAAGGGCTTACAGGGTCAGAGGGGAGGGGTGTTCGGGCCAGATGCCAAGTCAATCACCCCAATAATCACCACCTTCCTCTCGTTGCTCCGTGCAACGATCCTACATTGGTCACTACACCAACACCCATCCGTCAAGGGCTTACAGGGTCAGAGAAGGAGGGGTGTTCGGGCCAGATGCCAAGTCAATCACCCCAATAATCACACCCTTCCTCTCGTTGCTCCGTGCAACGATCCTACATTGGTCACTACACCAACACCCATCCGTCAAGGGCTTACAGGGTCAGAGAAGGAGGGGTGTTCCGGCCAGATGCCCGAGTCAATCACCCCGATAATCACCCCCTCCCCAGCGCTGCTCTGCCCGCCATTCGCAGGCCACAGGCTCGAGTCGAGCTTGAGAAATTCAGGCGAGTGCACCATGTTCACCCGCACTGTCCTCTCTCTCTCCACGTCCGCCACTGCCGGGTGCCACTTCAGCCGCCTCGCCTCAGCAGGGGTGAGCTGCGCTGCAAAGCTGTTCAGCAGATAGGTGTAGCTGCGGGGTGACGGGGGGATAGGGGCCGGGCAGAAGGCAGGGGAAGGGGGTGAAATGGGAGAGGGGGCAGAAAAGTGGCACGGGAATGGGGTGAAAGGGGGGGGGAGGGGGCGGACAGAAGGCAGGAGAAAGGGGTGAACGAAAAGTGCACTCCTCCTTATAACCCCTCACCACTCGCAACCCCATGTGTTGCTCTCAGCCCCACCTGTGGGAAATGGCTGAAGTTGGGAGCACACCCAAATACCCCCTTCCCCCTTTGAGCCCCTCCCTCCTCTCAGCCCCACCTGTGGAAGATGGCGGAGGTTGGGATCCCTAGAGACCGCAGCAGGCTGCGGTGGGAAGCTTCCAGGAAGCGAGTGAAGGCCTGCACGTGTGGTAACCGCACGTCGGGTCGCATGAGTCGGCCCCAGGGCGTGGTGCGCATGATGCGAGCAGCTCGCGCACTCAGCTGCTGCACTGTCAGCGCGGGTGACATGGCCCCTGCTGCCAGAGGTTCCCTGTCTCCTGCAGCTCTCCTGCCACGTGTCATGTTACCAATGGCGCTGAAATCCGCGGAGGTAGCAGAAGGGTACAACGCATTGAAGGAAGAGGTATGGAAATCAGCAGCAGCACCAGCGGCAGCTGCTCCAGCTGCTTCCTCTGCTGCAGCAGCCACTGCAGCAGCAGCAACGCGGGCCAGCAGGCGCGGCCCCACGCCAGCAGAGCTCGATCTGAGCTTGCCCAGGCGACGCCTCACCCTCCCCACCAGCGCATCCAACCCACCTCTTCCAAACGGCAGTGCGCTCATCCTCACTCCTCCTTCCCCCAGTCCTCTTCCTTGCACCCCTGCTGCTGCTCCTGCACCTGTAACCATCCCTCCTATGTGCATTGCTTCTTCTGCAGCAGCCTCAGCGGCGGACTGAATAACGGCATCGAAGGCATCCTCGTCTGATTCTGGCCCTGACCCCGACAACAGATTTGTTTCTGTTTCTGCTGCCGCCACTGCTGCTGCTGCTTCTGGTCCTGCTGCTGCTGGTGCTGGTGCTGATCCTGGTGCTGCTGGTGCTGGTGCTGATCCTGGTGCTGCTGGTGCTGGTGCTGATCCTGGTGCTGCTGGTGCTGGTGCTGATCCTGGTGCTGCTGGTGCTGGTGCTGATCCTGGTGCTGCTGGTGCTGGTGCTGATCCTGGTGCTGCTGGTGCTGGTGCTGATCCTGGTGCTGCTGGTGCTGGTGCTGATCCTGGTGCTGCTGGTGCTGGTGCTGATCCTGGTGCTGCTGGTGCTGGTGCTGATCCTGGTGCTGCTGGTGCTGGTGCTGATCCTGGTGCTGCTGGTGCTGGTGCTGATCCTGCTGCTGCTGGTGCTGGTGCTGATCCTGGTGCTGCTGGTGCTGGTGCTGATCCTGGTGCTGCTGGTGCTGGTGCTGATCCTGGTGCTGCTGGTGCTGGTGCTGATCCTGGTGCTGCTGGTGCTGGTGCTGATCCTGCTGCTGCTGGTGCTGGTGCTGATCCTGCTGCTGCTGGTGCTGGTGCTGATCCTGGTGCTGCTGGTGCTAGTGCTGCGGCTGATCCTGGTGCAGTGCCATTGCCACCATTCCCACCACTCTCATCACCACCACTCCCACCACCACCACCAGCATCGGCCCCATCATCCGCCCCATCATCCGCCCCGTCATCCTCGTCATACTCGTCCTCGCCATCGTCTACAGTCGCTGTGCCCTGCAGCCCGTTGACTCCCCCACGGTACGACAGCACTGACGGCACGGACGCCAGATGCACGACGTACTGCCTCGTGTTCGGCCTTCGCGCTGCTGCTAGGGGAAAGGAACAGGAGGGAAGGGGAGAAGGGAGCTAGAGGCCCTCAGCCCGTCACTGACTCCTCCCCAATGCACGACGTACTGCCTCGTGTTGGGCCTTCGCGCTGCTGGGGGGAGTGGGGTAGGGGGGGAGAGAGGGGGGCGGGGGGTGGGAGCATGGAGGGAGGGGAGGGAGGGGGTTTCTACACAGGGAGGGGTTTGAGAGCAAGGAGAGGGGAGCAGGGACTGAGGCGCCTCACAGTCCCCAACCGCCCTTTGACTCCCCCGGTATGACAGCACTGACGGCACGGATGCCAGATGCACGATGTAATGCCTTGTGGTGGGCCGTCGTGCTGCTGTAGAGAGGGGAGGGTGAGAGGACGAACAGGAGGGGAGGGGAACAGTAGTGGCGCTCAGCAAGTTGACTTCCCCCCTGGGCGACAGCACTGACGGCTCGGATGCCAAATGCACGATGTGCTGCCTTGCTGCTAGGGTGGGTGGGGGTGGGGGAGGGGGAAGAGAGCAGGGAAAGGCGAGGGGGGATTGAGGTGCCTCACAACCCTGAGCCTGTTTTTGAGGCGCCCCCCGAAACGACAGCACTGACGGCACGAATGTCAAATCAAACACACAAAGGGCTGCCTTGTGTTGGGCCTTCGTGCTGAGGGGACCAAGGGGGAGTCAAAACAGGCAGTGGATTGGAAAGGGGGGGGCTGAGAACGGGGATAGGGTGGTTGACAACTGAGGCACCTTCCAACCAACCCCGGCTCAGGGCTGGGAGCCCGTTCACCCCCCCCTGCATGACAGCGCTGAAGGAACTGACGGCGAGGGGCAAAGGGAGAGGGGAGGAGGAAGGGGAGGAGAGAAGAGGGGGAGGATGGGGAAGGGGGAGTGTTGGGAACACACAGAGGAGATCGAGGTTTGAGGGGAAGGTTGTTCGGTGGCGCATAACCGGATTCGAGTCGGAGCACCAACATTGCACGAGCATCCGTGCCTGTTACAGGCGACGCCCTTGCTACAGCCATGGTTGTAGCGCTACCACTAGGGGCATGGGCCTGGTTGGAGCGCCTGGTCATACTTGGTAGGAGTACCTGGTTGCACGAGCATCAGTGACCAGGCAACGGTCCTGGTAGTACCTGGTTGCACGAGCAGGAGTGACCAGGCGAAGGCCCTGGTGGTAGTACCTAGTTGCGCGTGATGGACCGCAGAGCACGGCTCGGAACGAGGGATACAAACGAGTCAGAATGCCTACATTGCACGAGCATCAGTGACCAGGCAACGGCCTTGGCAGTACCTACCCGGTTGCACGTGATGCAGTGCAGAGCACGGCACGGGCGGCATGAGTCCCAGGAGAGCAACGACCACGGCCGTCGCGGCGACAGCCAGAAGCCATGCGAAACCGCCGAGCCGACTTGATTTGCCTGGACGCATCAGCATTGTCGATCGGCGGTCCGAGGGAGCCGAGCTGCGAGACCGTGACGTGATCTAGGCGGTCCAACCTTGAAGGCAAAGAGAGTCTATCAGTGACAAGGAAAGACAAGCTGGCTTTGGAGATTCCCAGTGGGAAAGAACTTCTTTCTCGAAGGCAAGCTGTTTGTATCGCACGCTCGTCGAAAGTTGTGCCGTCGGCTTTATGGTGCATGCTATCGTTGGCTTCTCCCCTCGATAGTATCTAAGCCGAGGCAGAGTGGAGTATGCGTGACTCCGTGGGACCAACCTTCGTTGGACCGACCTCCGTTGGACCGACCTCTGTTGGACCTACCTCGGTATCTGTGAGTCGCCGGAAGAAACTAGCTCGAGCCAGAAAGAGGAGGAAATTCCACAAATCACGGCCATTCTTGCCGCCGGACCGCGCTGCATGATTCCAAAAAAGCGGGCCAGGGGGGGGAGCGGTGCTCCACTCATGGATGCTCCACACGTCACTAGGGTGAGCTCACTAGGCTCTACACCTAGTCAATAGTAGGGTGACCTCTGACGCCGATAATGTACGCGCGTGAAAAATCCGCACTTCCTGGCCAAGGACTCAGGAGGAATGACCTCGACGGACTCAAAGTACCGTCACAAAACAGGTGGGTGACCCACAAGGAACTAGCAGGAGCCAGAAAGATTGCCTTCGCACGGAGAATAAACCCCTCCGCTCCTCCTGGCGAATGATTCAGGAGGAATGACCTCGGCGGACTCTGAGAGTACCCGCAAGGAACTAGCAGGAGCCGGAAAGAGGGGGCCATCCCACAAATCACGGACCATCTTGCGGTCGGACCATCGTACAAGTAGCTGGTTTTCTTTGCCAGCGAGGCGAGATTCGGCAAGTTCGACTGGGTCTCGAATTTCCGCATATGCCAACCAGAGCACACTGGTGGCTGGCTGGAGCAGGCAGCTCGGCTCCTTGGTTGTTGAGCTGTGCCTGGAACTCAATATGGGGTACAAGTCGGGGCCGATGAAGCTGGAAAGAAAGACCCCACTATTTCTCTACTCAAGGGTTGTGGAAGATGTGCACATCTCTTATAAGCATAATGTAAATGCACCCCACCACACAAGTTGATACGAGCTGTAAAATCAGAATTTGGTTTCATAATCGTGAAACAATATGTATACTGAACAGAATTGGAGGATTAAAAGGGTAACTGCAGCATCAGAAAGTTCCGGCATACAAAGTGCTCAGGGGCCTCACTTCCATCAGGAAAAAACGGGGTGAAAAGGAAAGCGCAGCATGGTACCAGGTAATTCAACTCTCATTCTCAGCAATTCACATAGAAGTGAAAATCAGCACCAGCTGTACAGGATGTCTCTTATTACGAACGAGCCAGCACAACACCGAACTGCACATGGCTGCCCCACACGCTCTGGCCCACAACCGGTCTCCAGCAATGTCCAGCACAGCGGCAGCAGAAAGAGCAAGGTCGTATGAGGCTACTGCTGCAACTAATGCTGCAGCTGCTGCCTGTAATTCTGTTGCTGCTGCTTCTAGTGCTGCTGCTGCTGTTGGTGACTCTCATGCTGCAGCGGCCGCTGCTGTTGCTGCTGTAGCTGCTGCTGCCGCCACCGCCGCTGCAACTGGTGAGGGTGCTGCTGATGAGATCCCTTCCCTAACTGGAATGTGAGCAGCAAGGTGCGACAACGAGCACAATGAGGAAGAAGGGAGCGAAGTGGGTTGCAAGCGAAAAAAGGGGAAGCAGAGAAAAAGACATAAAAAGGGATCTGCAGTGTAAGGAGTAGCAGCAGATGCAATGCAACACCACCAGCAATGGAGCGAAGAGCACAGGATACACGAGAAGCAGCAGCACTAGGAGAAGCCTTTCCACCTGGAAAAGGTTGATGGAGTGACTCCATCTTTTTTCTTGTGTGAAACCTGATGTTAGCAGAAAAAGAAACTGAATGAAGTGGGAGGGGTGAAATACAAGGAAAGGGCGTCAATGAATGACCAGATAAATGAGCAGGTCAAGGTGGCACAATGCAGCACAAGGCAGCAGAAGGCAGCACAATGTCCAAATTCATCGCGAATCACGAAAAGATTCATTTCACATACTCAATCGTTTTCATTGCTGAAGTGAGGAGTGTTCACCTGTCAGGGCAAGTGGCTGCCTGGTCTCCAATACAGCAACTATACTTACTTCCAACGCAGCTCTGAAGATAATTACTTTCCACTCCGTTTGCATGAAAGCGGGTCCCGAATCCGGGCGAGTATCAAGAAAACCCGGAGGGCCTTAAGTGATGTATACTGGTGGCCTGAATTGGGGGCCGAGGTTTAACAATTCGTGTCGTGTTGTGATGCATGCACACGCAACAAGTCTGACACGAAAAAACTCAGTGGTTTGCTTCAACCACTGGAGATTCCAGACGGACCCTCGAAGAGTGTTTCACTGGATTTCATCACAGACCTCCCCAAAACACGCGATGGTCATACTGCGATCCTGGTCTTCGTGGATCGATTGAACAAAACGGTGCACTTCGTTGCTACTACAACCGACGTATCTGCGGAAGATACGACCAAGTTGTTTGTAGCACACGTTTTCCACTTACACGGGTTACCGCGTGTGCTGGTGTCCGATCGAGATCCGTGCTTTACAAAGATGTTGGCGGACACTCGAAACGAAGCTAAAGATGTTGGCACCAAACGGATGAGCAGACAGAGCGAACGAATCATACTCTTGAGCAGATGCTTCGTTCTTTCATTGGCCCAACTCAGGGTGATTGGGATGACTTGTTACATGTGGTTGAGTTCGCAGTGAACAATTCTGTCCATGAAGGTACCCATGAAAAACCCTTCATTCTGAACCGTGGACGGCATTCGACAACACTTGCTGCGCACCGGATCGGCGGACTGCGAGTCCCTGCCGCAAAAGACTTTGTGGGCAAGCAGCAAGAAGCGTTCAAGCCTGCTCGCCGCTAACTGCAACTGTCTCAGCAGCGTCAAAAGTCTTATGCCGACATGAAACGCCGGGAAGTCTCTTTTGAGGTTGGAGACAATGTATTATTGAGCACGAAGAACATTCGTCTCAAAATCACTGAGGCACGAAAGCCATTCCCTCGATGGATTGGGCCATTCGAGGTGATTCTGCGCGTTGGTGTGGTAGCTTACAAGCTGAAGTTACCCGATACATTGTAGATTCACGATGTCTTCCACGTGTCTCTGCTCAATAAGTACGTTGCTGAAGGAAAGTACTTACCTCCACCAACGATAGTCCTCGGCGAGGAACTCGTTTATGAGGTCGAGCGTGTGCTCATGCACCGTGATCGACAGCGTGGCCGCAAGACAGTACGCGAGTTCCTTATTACGTGGAAATGCTATGGGCCTGAACACAACTCATGGGAGCCAGAGGAACATTTGACGGAAACTATGGTTCACGGATATCTGGAAGACCTGGCTCAACGAGCAGCCTCGCAACTAGTGGATGGTGTTGACCCTAGTCATAATGTGATTCGGTGCGCTCGAAGCACCCATCCCCACAAGCACTCTACGTCAACGAGGACGTTGCCACATGGAGGGGGAGGAGTGTAACGCTTGGCCTATGAACAGTGCGCGGGCCTACAAAACTGCCTTCCCAACGGCCTATCTCAAATTTGCTACCTATTCTAGGTATTGCAAAATGGGAAGAAGGGGTTGGGAGGGGAGTTTTGGGATTGGTCGAGATTGAACCAATCATATTGTACTTGTACAGTGGCGGATTAAATTGTCCACATGTTTTGCCTTTTTTTGCATTTTTATGAGTGCAGAGGCGTATACATTAAGCCTTAATGTACGGTGTGCATTAACGCTGAGAAGTTCAGTTAGAGCAGTCACTCCAGTGTTCAAACACCAAAGTAGTACCACACATGGTCCTTAAACTCCTAAGCATAGCATGGGAGAACATGTGGACAATTTGTACCGGAAAATGGTATCACACTAGATTCTAGGAAAACTAGTACCTAGTCCAGCGTCCCTTTGCCCGAATCACTGCCTTGATCCTCCTCGGCAGGCTGTCGATCAGGTTTGCACACACCTCCGGCGGTATCTTGTCCCATTCCTCCTGCACCCTCTCCCACAGCTCCAGCATTCCCCTTGGCGGCTTTTCGTACTTCCCCAGCTGCCTTTTCAAGTATGCCCACAGGTGCTCAATTGGGTTAAGGTCCGGGGAGCACGACGGCCATTCCAGCACCGCGTACTCCTGCTCCCCAAGCCAGTCTTGGACCAGACGACACCTGTGCTTGGGATCATTGTCGTGCTGGAAAATGACCTCTGAGGGGGAAAGCTTGAAAAAATCGATGGTCTGTTTGAGCTCATCTTGCAAGATGCTGCGATACAGCGGCCCATCCATCCTGCCATCTATCTTGCACATGAACCCCGCCCCCTCATACGTCATGCAACCCCACACCATCACAGAACCGCCCCCATGCTTAACTGTCTGTTGGACTTGGTGGCTCCGAAGGCTGGTGCCCTCGCGAATCCAGGCGTACGCACGTCCGTCGGAGCAGTAGCGGTTAATCTTCGTCTCGTCAGACCAAATCACCCGCTTCCAGTCCTCCAGCGTCCAGTCGGCATGCGCCCGCGCGAAGTCGAGACGATCGCGGATGTTTTTCGGTGAGAGCCTGGGTTTCTTGGGCTGATGCACGGCGATCAGCCCCGCGGATCGTAAAGAGTTGCGGACCGTCTTCGAGTCTACGGCGAGATCGTGCTTCTCCAACAACATCTTGGCCGCGTCTGAAGAGCTTTTCGCCTCGCCGCTAGTAATCGCACGTATAACTCCGCGCTGGAGACGGGTTGTGATTAAGCGGGGGCGGCCGGCCGAAGGCATCGTAGGTCGCACCTCCTCGCGACTAGTCTCCTCAGCGAGTTTCATACCGTAATCGTGCACGGTGCTCTTGCCTATGCCAAGAAGTTTCCCTATTTTCCTAGTCGAATGCCCCGCACGCAACATGCTTCTGATCCTCGCGCGCTTCTTCTCATTTAACGGCTTCATAGCGATGCGGTCGTAGGCTCGCTTCCGGACTAACAACTAAGCTAGGAACTGGTGCGCGTGACGATGTACACACTGAGCGACGGGGGAAAATAGATCTACTCTTCCGCTCGGTAGGAAATGTCCACATCGACAGTCGAGTAGTAAATTTCAACCCCACTTTCCGTTAGTGTCACAATCGCGCCAAGCAAGAAACGGATGAAGCAGAACTCAAAAACCGAGTAACAGAATGGAAAAAAACGGGTGTTACTATTTTCGAAACATGTGTTGCATAACGATACGTTTCAAAGTGTTAAACATCCGGGCAATTTAATCCGCCACTGTACATGTTGACCTGGCAAATTTTCCAACCCACGCGATGAATGTAATTGCAACCAATTATAATTAGAGAGTTGGTTGGCAATGCCAGCTCAACTCGAATATTCCTATGCGGTATACCAAATGCTAATCTGAATGCATTGTTGTAAACTTCCCATTGGTTGGAAATCCAACTCTTCGCCACATAAGCTACAGTAGCTCACCTCCTTAGAGCCATAGTAGAGATGCAGCAGTTGTTGGGAGTCATTAAAAGGGGTCTGAGCTGAGAAGCTCATTCTCAACTTCCCACTCCAAGAAATCAATATTGAAATATGATTTTTCTAACGATTTTTTTTAACAGATTGTGATTCGATTTGAAGAGGAGTTTTGCTATAAAGGAGACAAGCTCCTTCACATTCTCGCAGGTCCGATGGACCTGCCACCTAGTCTCATTCTCATTTCTCTCCTCTGATTGCTTACTACCACCAGCACCCTCTAAACCCCTCCTATGCCCAGACCTGGGCATAGGAGCACGCTACTTGCAGACGTGATTGCCGCACGTTTTTCTACCATGAC